GTATATATGCTTTATACGTAGATATGTATATACTGTATATATGCTTTATACGTATATTTGCATACTGTATATAATATATATATGTATACTGTATATGCGTAAACTGATAACTGATGAATGTGTATTCAGGTGCTCGTGCACGGGGAGAGGTGATTAGCATAATTACCACCCTAAAAACACCATATAAGGCTACGTTTCCTGCCCTCACATACCAGGAAGTGTCCATTCATAAATAACAGCAAAAAGGGAAAAGAAGGGCTTTGGAGAATGAAGTCCTGCTCAGAGAGATCCAGAAAAGAAAACCTGCCATTTTTAGCAGCATCAGCTGTGGAATTAAAGGAGCTGTTAAAGCAGAGGAATGAAATGTGCTATTAATGTCATGTCTCCCTTGGATCGTATACAGTCATTTGAATAAAAATAAAAATCTAATTCACCTCTCTCTCTGAAGTTTTGTAAATGACTCTCAGCTACTACCTCAACAAATTTGGGGCCAACGTTTGAAAAACTGAGGTTTTTTGTTGTTTGTTTGTTTGTTTTTGTTATTTTGTTTGTTTAAGATTGCCTGTTATGGCTAACTTGAATCAAGTGGACTCCAAAAGTGAATCAGATTATCCACTTTCTGCTCGTTTCATTCAAATCAGTTCAGCGTTTCGTGAAATATTTTTGCTAACAGGGCAGTTTCACAGTTCCTCTCACTTGTTTTTGTAGTCCTCCACCAGGCCCGTCATGTGGTGCAGGTCAGACTCCAGCTTGACTTTTTCGTGCCCCAAGTTGTCGAGCCGCCTCCGCAGACTGGCGACGTAGGCCTCGAACATGGAGTCAATGTTGGAGTGAGACGTGGTCTGTTCCTGCAGGAGCTTCCACTTGGTCTCCAGCATCTTATTCTGCTGCTCCAGGAAGCGCACCTGAAGACAGAACAGTCCAGAAATAAACCTAAAGAGTGTGAGTGACTCATGAGTTTATTCTCCCATAAACTACATTGTAAATCCAGAGACAAAAAAAAGGTAACTGAGTGACTTTAATGGTCACATTAATTCCTTATCTTTTTCTTCAGAATATAGCTCTTGTCTTTACAACATACTTTTTACAGCATCCTGAGCCTGGGTGGGGACCACTCAGCAAACACAGCTCTGTGTGTTAAATCACAGCAATGTGAGGAGCAGTGGGAGAGTCGGCTTTGTTTTACAATCTGAAGAATRACAACAAAGTTTATTTACACATTCTGTGTTTTATCTCATTGGACTAGCTCCTCACACATTTATGGGCTGCGAGGATGGAAGAAAACAGGTAAAAACATGATTTTTTGTCAACATAGAACATTTTCTTTTTTTCTAGTTATTTGTTTTGTTGAACAACATACTGTACAACCTTATATGGGCAAAATTATTTTTATTTTCTGTAATATTCAACGTTTTTTTAATAAAAGACTCGTCTCACGCAGCTGTTTCAGCTGTTTTATCAAGTCACTGAGTTAGGSAGTGAGGTTTGAAGTTTGCAGGAGGAACAAAAATGAAAGCAGTAAAGTCACTCAAGCCATTGTTTACTTTCCTGACCACTTATTTATGCAGGACTTTGTTTGTGCGAGTCAAATCTGTTTTTTATTTAGAGTGACTCCCTCGTGTCCTTACAGCATCTGAAACTGAAAAACCATCATCCAAACAAGAAATAATCCCCTCAGAACTGCACAGATGTCACTTGTTATAAAGAAAAGTTGGCCTGAGGTGTCTTCATTTCCTCTGCACTTTATTACACTTTTTCTGCAGGATTTTCTGGATTTTTATGTTCATCTCCTTATCTTATTGTGTCCTGCTGATCYTGAATGCAGCTGTGTTTTTCGACTGACCTTGTCGATGAAGGAAGCAAAACGGTTGTTGAGGGTCTTAATCTGCTCCTTCTCCTGGAGGCGGATGGTCTGGATGGTGGGGTCGATCTCCAGGTTCAGGGGGGCGAGCAGGCTCTTGTTGACGGTCACAGCTGTAATGGGGGCCAGCACTTCATTACCACCTCCTCCAAAGCCCACATAGCCAAACTCCACGCCACCTCCTCTGTGTCCCGATCCCCCAAACCCGCTGGCCATCTTGAAGCCCCCAGCACCCACAGCAGCCCCACTGCTGCCCACTCCTCCGTAGGAGCTGCGGACAGCGTAGCTCTGCCTGGCACTGCCCGAGCCCGGGCCCCCGTAGCCGGAGAACGAGCGGCTGCTGTAGCCCTGGGCGGGGCCCCTGGAGGACGACACAGTGGACAAGGTGGTGGTCTTCAGGGCTCTGACAGACATGATCACGTAGTGGAGGATGGGGTCTGTGGATGGTAGGAGAGACGCTGCTGAGGAGGAGAGAATCAAGCAGATGGAGCCTCCCTGGTCCTGAGTGGTATTTATCAGAGCAGGGAGGGCCCCTGATGGGGTGGGCTTGGCTGGTGGCCTCAGTGGGGGGGGAGTGAAGGGTGAGAGGGAGAGAAATGGGGCAATGTCAGGGAAGAAAATTACATCATGTTACACATTTACAGCTCATAAATCAAAAGCAGTCCAACTTCTGCAGAAATGCAAGGAAGACTCTTTGTTCAGATTTGGACAGTAAAGCTGCCCTGTAAAAACTCTTATCAGCACGTTTTAAACAAATATAAAACAGATTCAACTCAATTTTACACAAACAAGAAGCCAAACTTTACGTTTAATGAACGAGTGTCTTATTTCATGACCTTGTCCCTGTCTTTGCAATATTTCTCACAGAAGTGACAAGCTGGAAGGTAAATTGTGTTTGGTGAGTGTGATGTCCTTTACATGTTGGTGAGCAGAAACCATAGGTCACATAATCAAGTCAAGTTCATCATCATTATTCRAACTGTATTCATCATACAGCGGGAATAAGAAATGTCCAGAGCCAATACAAACAAATCTAAACTGTATGGACAGTGTTTGAAGAAAACAGAAAAAATCTTTAGATTTTTCATACTAAATTTCTTGCATGAAGATTAACCTATAAACTGAGGTGGGTATAGTATCCATAAATTGTACTCTAGTAAAAGTAGCACTACTTCACCATATTTCTAAGTAAAAAGTAACCATCCAAGAAGTGACTCAAGTAAGATTAAAAAAGTATTTGTTAAAAAGGCTACTTGAGAACTGATCAAGACATCAAACATTTAATGTCTAAAAATGACATCATCAGACAGACCAAAACATAAAGCTATGTGCAAATTTTGGTATTTCAAAGATCAAAATGAAAATAATTCAAATAAATAACATAATAACAAATTCAAGCAAAATAAGCATTTTTCCAAATCAGTTTCTTTCAATATTAAATTTATGAAACAAAAAAAACAGCAGTTGTGTGTGTGTGTGTGTGTGTGT